CTGGCGAGGTTGTCAGCGCTGTGCTGTTGGTGTTGCCAGCGGCGGCCCCAGAGCCCCCAGACCGTGGAGGAGCCACCCACTACTCTGACCTGCCCCTGTCCCTGGTCCTTCTCGAAGGATCTGGCTGTGTTAACCTCTGCTTGTGGGTGGCGCAGAAGCAGCTGTTTCAGGGCAGTAGTTTTGGCATAGCCCTTGTGTCAGTGCTGCAGAAGAAGAGCCCTGGCATTCCCTGGCAGGGAAGGTGACATCCCTGCAGCAGGGAGTGCCCTGCCATGACACAGCCAAACAGCAGAGCCTGCCAAGGCCTTGTCTTTGCCAGGACCTGCAAAGGGGAAATGGCATGAAGTGTCTTTAGTGAGAGGTGCCTTGAGAGGTCCAGCGTGGCAGATGGTTCAGCTGGGATGTTTATGTGGGTTTTGCTCTTTCTCTGGAGTGTTTACTCCCATCCTGACAAACTTTGCTGGTTTCCCTTTGCAGATTGCCCTCGCCAGTTTCTACGAGGACGGGGGTGATGAGGACATCCTGACCCTGCCCCAGCCCACCCCCAGCTCCATATCCAGAGGCACTGGAGCCAGGTGAGAAGTGAGCTCCAGGTCCATCCTGGAAACCTGACAGTGGAAACTGTGAAAACACAAACTCTCTATAAAGCACTGATGTGTGTTAGTTTTCGGGAGTAGCTCTGTGTTTAGATTTGCTTCACCTCATTTGGCTCTCTAGAAATTGTGAAAGCCTGAGCATTTGTACGTCACCAGCACGGGTGTTATTGCACAACTGAGCCAGAGATCAGTTAGGAAAGCTCGGCTCATTGCTCAGGAAAAACTTGGTTAGTCTTTTGAGGTTAAAGACAGTCAGTTCATGATACTTTCATTTGAGCAGACCATGTCTCTGCAGGAAGAACATTTTCTGGTTTTGTGTGAGACCTGAGCTGATCAAGTCAAGCATTTTACAAAATAAGAAGTGAGTTTTGCCTTACCAAATCCCTGTGAAGTCAGGGAATGCTGCCCAGTTTTAAAGAGGAGTTGCTGGCTGTATCTTGAAGAGAAATGCTCTCTGTTCAGGCATCAGTAAACAGAGTCCACCTTGCAGAAGGAGGCTGTTTCAGTGTTGACTGTTTCAGTGTGGAATGTTTTATCTGGGAATGTTTTAGTTTGGACTGTGTCCCAACATTCTTCTTGCTGGATCTTTGCAGTGACCATCGAGTAACCTCGTTCAGAGACCTTGTGCATGCGCAGGAGGAGGATGATGAAGAGGAGGAGGGACAGCGGTAAGTTTCTAGCTAGAGACTCAAACCCTGGGTGTTTATCCCGGCCCTTTTGGGAGGACTTGCTGCTTGTGTTCAGTTTTTTTAAGATCAAGTTCGTGTCTCTATAAAGTTCCTGTAGTGAAGCATCTGCGGTTTGACAGGGGTTTGTCAGTGCAAAACCTGTGCACAAGCACGTGCTCAGCTGTGTAAGCACCAGCTCTCAGCGCTGAGAGAAAGCCTAAAGTAGGGTATGGAAGCCCTGGGTTAAGAACAGGAAACAGCCCAGATCCTCATTTATGTCCATAGAGAATGGAAATGTGGGAATAATGCAGAGATTTGTTTTCTTTCTGCTTGAGGTTTACGGTTTTATTTTTGTTGGGGTTTTGGTTTTGGGTTGTTTCGTTTGGTTTCTTTTTGAAGTGCTGCTTAAGGGTAATGTACTGGCATGTGGAAGTGGAAAGAAAAACAGGAACATGGAATACTAGTGGGAAAGTCTCCTACGATGTCAACTGTAAGTAGTTAAATACCCTTAAGGTTGACAGGCAAAGTAAATGGAATGGAACTGATGTCTCTGAAGGGGTGGCTCAGCCTGGATGGACCGTGGTCTGCAGGCAGCTGGGAGCTCGCTCTGTGTGTGTTACAGGCCATCTGGAAGCTAATAAACCCAATCTTCCAGAAGTGCTTAATTGCACTTCACTGACTGTGCATCCATTGCTTCCAGCTGAGATCCGTCCTTTGTGTGGCATGACTGTGTGCCTTCCCTCAGAATTCCAGTTGGATGTTTCTCTGATGGGTCAGAGGCTTGCTGGAAGCCTTGTTGAGCCGGGTGATTGAGCTGGTACTGGTGTTTAAAACAGGGCTTGTCCCTCTGGGCTGTTCCTCTTGCCAGGTCTGAGACTTGTGGCCACTTTATTGCTATTGATCCACAGGTAATCTTACAGTAATTGACATAAAAAGAAGGTCTCTGCAGTACAGGAACTTGCAGGTGGCGGCAGTGGGAGACACGCTGGTAGTATCCAGTATTTGTGATTCCAAGGTGTTTCACTGAGTGCACAAATAAGGACAAGTGAATCCTGATGTCAAACCGCTGGGTCCTGGAGAGGCAGCGGGTCCAGTCTGACCAGGGGCCGGGTGCTTTCTGTTAGGTTTTATGCTGGTGGCTCGGAGAGAAGTGGCCAGCAGATCGTGGGCCCTCCGAGGAAGAAGAGTCCCAACGAGCTGGTGGAGGATCTGTTCAAGGGAGCCAAGGAACACGGCGCGGTGGCCGTCGATCGGACGACCAAGGGCGGTGGCGAGACAAGCAAGCCGAAGGTGAGGAGGGCTGAGTTCTTCCTTCTGTTCCCTGTTTCAGTCAAGGCTCCATCATGCCAGCTGTTTGGCACTGAGGAGCCTGGAATTACCTTGACAACTAAGTCTGGACTCCTCTCTCAGTGCAGCTCTATTTTGTGTGTCACAGTAGCAAGAAAAGCCGCTCTCTTGTGCCGTATTTATGAACTTGCTGAAGCTGTCACTGTGCCTGCAGGGCAATAGATGTTGCTGATGCCATGAAGCCCCTGTTCATCCACAGGGGTGGTGGGGAAGGGGAGCAGCTCTCTTGGGTTTGTGTGGTTCTGTAACCCTTTGCCTGCTTCTCTCTTCCAGCCTTTTGCAGGGGGAGGGTATCGCCTTGGGGCTACTCCCGAGGAGGAGTCGGCTTACGTGGCAGGAGAGAGGAGGCAGAACTCTGCTCAGGATGTGAGTATGTCTGCACAAGTCTGTAGATGTGACCCAAGGGATTTCTCTGCTCTAGCTACAGAGCTTGCCACCCCTGAGAGTTACAAAGCTTGACAGAAATTCACAAGGACAGAAATATGGTAAATCCTGCTTCCTGTGGGATTTCTGAGTAGAAAATAGATGATTGGTCTTGGGTAAGCAGTTTTCTGATGAACTGTTAATTAAGAATATGAGCATTCCTTAGAAGTGCAATAATGTGTGAAGAGCACTGGGCAATTAACTTTTCTTTATCCACTGGAGAGCTGTGGAGCTGCCAGCATCAGTGTGAGGTTCCCTCATGCTTGGTTTATGGCCAAACGTGCTTCTAGGCCGTGGTGGGAGCCTGGTTTAGGCTCCTCACCCAGCACACTCCTGGCTCTTCAGCCATATTTGCCTAAAAGGGGACTGTGGTGCCACCTTCTAGGAATTGACACCTGACCATTACATACATAGCCAGTGCTTTGGGTTTTTTCCCTCAGCCCAGAGGAACCTGGCTGGAGTGTTTTCTGCACCCGAAAGCTCCTCTGCCCAGTAGGAACTTTTCATTTTGCATCGATTTTTGTTGTCACCAAGATGCTCAGTGAGGCTGATTGTTGTTTGGGGGCTGCTGCAGGTGCATGTTGTACTGAAGCTCTGGAAGAGTGGATTCAGTCTGGATAGTGGAGAGCTGAGGAGCTACCAGGATCCATCCAATGCCCAGTTCCTCGATGATATCCGCAGAGGGTACGTAGTGAGAGGGAAGAAAAAGAGCATCTGTTTTCTGAAACACAAGTGTTTTTGGAATCCAGGCTGCTGAATCTGGCACATTTCACCTGAGCTTTCTTGTAAGAAATTAATTATTCTTCATATGGAACATTTGGTTCAGGTAAACAGGGAGTGGCTTTGGTTTGTGTGGGGTTTGTGTGAAGTGAACAAAGAGGTGTTCATATTTGGGGTGAGATTTCTGATGCATGACATCACTCCAGGTGACAGGGAAAAGTAGCCTTTAATTTGTGTGTGTCAATGGGGGAGGTGTGTGTCTGCCCTATTAATTAAGCAAGGGGCACACTGCAATTCCTGAAAATCCAAAGGTCTGGGGCTTTTTCTCCACACTTTCCTGCCTTGCTGCTTCAGGCAGCTGCCTTAGGACTCTGTCTTTGCAGGGAAGTCCCGGCCGAGCTGCGCAGGTTAGCACGGGGAGGACAGGTGAACCTGGATATGGAGGATCACCGGGATGAGGAGTATGTGAAACCTAAAAGTGTCTTCAAGGCTTTTACTGGAGAAGGACAGAAGCTGGGCAGGTGAGAAGACGGCGGCACTGCTTTGCTCTGTGTGTGATGGGAGAGAGTCACTCGAGAGCCTTGCTAGGTGGAGCCTTTTGATTCATCTTTCTGAAGGAAAGGCACTGGGTGCCTGTGGGATGGGAGGTGTTCCTCTAAGGAAACGAGGCTCACTGGCATGTACTGTGGGGTGGCTCAGCCTCTCCCTAGCGGGAGGCGGGTCCCTGGTTTGGAACTCCCATAGAACACGTAGGAGCAGTGTTTCCAAGTCACACTGCCCTTGTTCCCGTGAGGATGTAAGGGCCTGTGACATGGTACCAAAGGAGATGGTAGAGGTGAATTTCTAGACAAGTTCCTGCTGACTGGCTGACTAATAAATTCTTACTTCCAGCTTGCTTGGTGTCTCCTGTCTAGCAGCCCTGGTAGTTGGGCCTGGCAGGCGATGAGCTGGCTGTCTGATCCTGGCTCCCTGCAGCCAGGTGAGTTTGATTTTTAACAGCTCCCCTTGTGTTCCCCTGTTGCCAGCACCGTGCCCCAGGTGATGGGCACCAGCTCACCAGCCCAGCAGGCAGAGAACGAAGCCAAAGCCAGTTCTGCCATCGCGATCAATGAGTCGGAGCCCGTCACCAACATCCAGATCCGGCTCGCTGACGGTGGGCGACTGGTCCAGAAGTTTAACCACAGTCACAGGTATGAGCAGGAAACACCAGGAAGGGCTGCGTAGCACTGCAGACTGGACACAGGTGGAGCAGGTGTTAAAATCCTGGTTGCCTGCCAAAGGGAGCTCTGGGGATCCTTCTGTATAGATGAGGAGGAATAGAATTATTGTGGGGTTTTAAGGCAGTTGTTAACTGTTGGATAGGATTTGCTTTCCAAATAGGGATAGATTATAGCCAGTGATACCACATCTGGGAGGGTCAGTGTTATCAGCAACACTTTCCTTGATGTCACCTATAAAAAACTGTTCTGTTCCCTTGGACAAGCAGAGCTGGCTTAGATACCCCACTGCTTCCTCAGACTGCTCTCCTAAAGTCCTTCTCACCTCCCTGATTTGAGGTTTATGTTCATTCCTCCAGTTTCTATAAGAGTCAAGCCCAGGGCAAAGACTTACAAAAGCCTTTGTCTATGACTGAGTTCAGGAAGTGGATCCCGTGTCACTGTGTGGCTGCTCAGGGGAGCCGAAATCCTCTGGGTTCTGCTGTGTGTGACAAGCTCAATCACTCAGAGCAGCAAGTGTCAAACAGTTCTTTAAATCTGTTCATCATTAAGGGTTTGGAAGCTTTCAGTTTCGAATAACCTCCTGACAACACAGACAAAGAACACTGAGCTGCTGTTATTTCACTAAACGGGAGCCCACAGAGGAGCAGGTTAAATCAGAATATAGTCTGGCTGTGGCCTGTGACGTGAGCTGGGAAGCAGATGCAGCACAGGCTGCACACCTTTGTAGAAGCTGTTCAGTAACAGGATCACCCTTGTGTGTTTGATCCCTTTGGACAGGATCCGTGACATCCGGCTCTTCATAGTAGATGCTCGGCCAGCGATGGCTGCCACCAGTTTCGTCCTCATGACCACCTTCCCCAATAAAGAGCTGACTGACGAGAACCAGACCCTGAAGGAAGCCAACCTGCTCAACGCTGTCATTGTTCAGCGGTTGACATAGAGGACCCCAGCTGTGGCCACACGCCTGGCGCGGCGCACGGGGCCGTCCCCTCCCGCGCGGTGCCACACGGGCCCACATCTGCTCGTAGCTCTGGGTTCTTAGGTCTTGGTTGGACTTTTTTTCTCTTTAGTTGCATTTCCGATGGGTTTTTTTTTTTTTTTGTGATGATGATCAGTGGACTTTAAAATAAATAAAACGAAACGAATCCGTTTTGAAAGGAGCCGCAGCCTATTGTGCCCCAGATTCTCCCAGGAGAGTTCAGTTACCTTTGTGGATTGAGTTACTGCGCTCAGAGAGAGGTGGAAGGCGAGGGGGAAGGGAGCTTCAGGGAGCAGTTTCTGTCTGTTTACTGCTCACCACAGTCCTTTTGCTCTTCCCTCCAGGGACTGCTGCAAAGTAGTCCCTTTTTTTTTCTGCACATTAAATATAAACTATCTGAGAATTGGTGATCTGATTGTCAGGATAGTGGTTACACTTCTGTAAAAGCCTTATGGGGGAAGTCTTTGTGAAAGAGCTCAGTGTGGGGAAAACTCCAGCATCTGAGGTGCAAGGTTTAACACTTCCCAGGCTTTTCCGGAGAGAAAGCCCTGACTTTCCTTCCCTCAGCTGAACTCTTGGGGCGTTCATTGCAGTCCCCACCTGCTCTGCCTGTGCTTTCCCTGGCAGGCCAGACCGGCTGCAGGTTTAATTTGCTGTATTGCATTTCTCTGAGAAACCCTGCTGCTGACTTCTTCTTTCCAAGAAGGTACAAAGCTGAATCAGCTTGAACTGACTGGAAGTAAGAGACAAACAGAGTCTAACTGGAAAGCAAGTTATATCCTAAGAGGTGAATTATTGAGATGATGGCAACAGCTCAGGTGGAAAAACGCAAGGCTGTATTTGATGTATTTCCTCTCCTCTGCTGAGGACTAACATAGCTGAACACCTGGAGTTCTCCAGCTTTGGTCTGTTCTGTTTGTGTTTTGGGCTCAGGTCTCGATATCTTTCTCTCCCTTGAACAGAATCCTGTGGGTCCTTATGCCCAGACACGAGGCTAGAATATTGTGCTGCTTCTGTCCTCATCCTGGGCTTACAAGCAGAGCCCAGAGCTGAGCCGTGGGCTGCAGCCACCAGCTCCCTGGGAGCAGGGTCCCTGGGAGAGGCCACGCTCCTGCCCTGCCAAGGGCTGGAGCTCTCCCTCCGCATCCTGAGCCCCGCACTGTGAGTCCACCCCCCTCAGCACTGGGAAGCTTCCAGGTCCTCACCTTGGTGTGAGCAGAGGGAGCTCTGGGTGCAGGGGAGGGGCTGGCAGGTTGGGCGGGTTCAGCGTGAGGAACTCGCTTGGCTGCCTGTAGTAACAAACCAGCGGGAGCAGAGACCAGCCCTCGGCAAGGTCATTTTTACAGCAGTTTCTCGACTGAGAGCTGAATTAACTCACATTTTTCTTTACAGAATAGACATACAATGTGTGTAACAACCAATTTGTAAATTATTGTGAAAAATGCCATTAAAAGCCCACAAAATAGGAAAACAGTGTTTGACCCTTTCTAACTGGCTGCCATCTGGTCTCTGATTTTGGATGATGTTTGTGAGGGTGTCTCATCTTCGGGTTGCTCTGTGAGTAGGCTTCCTGTGCTTAGCTATCTTCAGCTAAATGAGGCTTAACCTCTCAGCAGCACTTTAAAAGATTATTTTTTCTGACAGGCGAGTTTGGGGTTCACCTGCCTGCATCACTTGCTGGTGTTTGTTATGACCTATGGGAACCAGTACAGAGAGAACTGAGAAAAGGGGGTTTCCCTCAGAGCAAAACAGAGTCACAGCTGCCTTGTGAGAAGTTACTCAGAGGAGTTCTTGTATCCTGATCTTCACACGTGCCATTCTGGGGACCTGGGACAATGTCTTCTGGAATGCTGGATAGGATGCACCCCGAGACCCAGAGAGAAAGTTTATCCAACAGAAAGGGTGCCAGTTATTTGTCTCCTGCTTCTGCCTTTGTTAGCCAGTGGCATCAGAGCACAGGTGGTGGCCAGCTGGTGTCCGTGGTCTTTGGATGAACTGGCCACACTGGTGCCCACAAATTCAGGGAGTGTTGGCAGCCAGACAGCAACTCCTCCAGCTGCTGATCCTAAGGTTTTGCTGTGCAGGTTCTGCTCACTGATGGGAACTTTCACATCCAGGTTTGCTGCCAGTTCTCTCCTTGCTGCTGGGAGGGAAAAGGGATAAATCCAGGGGCTCAGGAGCGTTTCTTTGCCAGGAAGAGGGAATTTTCCCTGGAGCCGGAGGGTGGCAGTGCTGCGGAGAAGCCGCTCTCCACCTCGAAGGCTCCTCTGAGGAGCTCTGCCAGATCCTGCTCTCTGTGGGAGCTGCACCTTGTGCTCTAGTGTGACCGGGAGCACCCTGGGACACCGCTGCTGGCTCCTTCTGCCTCTGGTTCTCTCCTTGGTTTTCGTAAGTCATGAGCAGTGCTTATCTCCTGGTTGAGCAGGTCAGCTCTGTCCCGCTGCCTGCAGGATGGACTGCAAGATCAGTGACCAGGACAGACCTATCTTCTTCCAAAGCTGACAAAAGAGCCCGTGGAACCAACTGAGAGTGATGTACGTGCAATGTCCTGTATTACACTGTCTCCTGTGAGCTGGTGGAGTGTTCCAATATAAAATAAGCTATAAAGCAAAAATGACAGTCAGGCAAATTAATGGGGAAGGGGTAATACACCAGAGCAGAAAAAAGGCAATGGTGGAAAGAGATGCTTTGATTTGCTAAAGAAAATCACCTTCCTTGTCACTTGTGCAGCCCCATCCCTGGAAATGTTCAAGGCCAGGCTGGACAGGGCTTGGAGCAACCTGGTCTAGTGGAAGGTGTCCTTGCCTATGGCAGGGGTTTGGAACGAGATGAGCTTTAAGGCCTCTTCCAAGCCAAACCAGTCCTTGATTCCATGATTCTATTTGGTGTTGTGCCCCTGCAGTACTTAAATCCTTATTTCTGACACTCCTGTAGTTTTTGATGGTTGTTACTGAGTTTATTTGACTTTCCCTCTAGTAAGATCTCTTTCCTTTGTCATTCCATTTCTGTGTTCTAACATAGGCTGAGATTGGGCTTTTCTAAAACTGGCATTTATGCTCATAAAAAAGTGTCTTTGTTCTCCTTCTTTGCCTGGAGAAGTGTTTCCCTGCAAAATTTTCCTTTTTTTCTCTGATCATTTCCCCAAGAGGAAGTTGTGCCTGTGTTCCTGGCCTTTCACACCCCAGTGTTAAGAAAGTGCTCCACATCTCGTGTGAAAAATCACTTCTTTTCAATTTCTGTTGTGCTGTCCTATCTGGAGCTCATGTCTTTCACTGTATCTTACTGTTTTTCTCCAAGTGCTGTATTTTAACAGTTTTCTCGCCCTCAGATGGGTAATTGTAGGACTTCCTGGGATTTTTTTCCTTCGCGTGCAGTTCTTTGTTTCCTCTTTTTTCACGTGTCCTTGTTGCTAAGGTTGAGTTCCTGTGTTTTCTGATAGCATTCACACCATTTCCTGGGAACTTTACCTCCCCCTCTCTAATGCTGCTTCTGCTGTGGGATGTTTCCTAGTCCATGTTTCTTGCATGCTCGGTGCTCTGTTTTCCTCAGGAGGTTCTGTTACCCAAGGGCCATGTGGTGTTTTAGTGATCCTGGTATAGGAACACCCATTTCTAGGTGTAGTTGTACCTTCAGCTGCCTGTTCAGGTAAAACAACGTTAACAGTACAAAGCAGTCAGTTTTAGTTGGCTTTTTTTTTGACTCAAAACTCGGGTAGCCCAGCTGGCAGATAAATGGAAGCAGCAACAAGAGACAGGGAGTAAAAAATTCCAGTGGGCACAACAGCAGCTACAAGTCAGGTACATTTCATGACTCCTCCTTAAATTAACTCTTTAATGGCTTATGGGGCCTACAAGAGCTCCTCTCCTGCCTCCTCCATTTTGGTGGCGATCGAAGTCCTGACTCCTGTTCCACCAAGAGAAGGCAGCTGTGCTAAAGGGAATCTGAGAGCCTCTGGCCATGCCTAGAGCAGTCAAGGAGAGGTAAGTCTTTGGAGGACTTGCTGGTTGAACACATCCAAATGGTGCCACTTGCAAATTCCCATTTGCTGGCTCTAGACTTCTTTTTACTTTAATTTTTTTTTTCAGTGGGGCTCCCTTGCCTGAGCAGCCCATCTGTAGGTCCCAGTGCCCTGAGAAAGCTGTTCAGCCAGCATGGCTTGGGTTGGAGCTGTTGGTATCACACATTCCTGGGCTCTGGGCAGGTAAGATGCCATGGTTCTGCTGTGGAGAAGAGGGTGCTGGGGAAGGGACCTTTCCTTCGCAGTCAGAAACTCCAACATGACTTTGTTTCTTAAGCTGCAGAGCTTTGTTTTCTCTGAGCCTTTTGCTGCATATTTGCAACAGAACAAGGGATATAGCTGCTGTGTCTTCTGAGTGCTTTCCCATTTCTTTTCCAAACCTACTTTTAACTAAGTGAAGGCAAAAGATCAGTTAGTGATGGAAGAGGCATCGTCCTTTGGCTCCAGGCCCTTGGTTAGATTTCAGGCCTTGGCACATGGTGTTACTGGAAAGCTCACTGTTTGCAGCGAGTCACACAGTGTGCAGCAGTGATTAACAGTAGGATTGGTGCTTTTCACCAAAATCTGCCCTTCCAGCACCAAGCTGAGCCCTGCTGTCATGCAGAGGGGGGCTGTGAGCTCCCCATGCTGCTCTAGCAATCGTGACATCCTGCCGAGCCCCAGCGGGTGACGCTGCCTCCTGTGAGGCACTGAGAGCACGGCAGAGGCTTTGGGAGGAGCCGAGCAGGGCAGAAATAAAGCCTCCCTGTGTCGGAGATAATTGTGCACTGAATTAGCCAGGGAACCAGAGCTACTCAGCTACTCCCGGGAGGTGACTGCTGGTCAGCCCTTGGCTTTCCTGTCTGTGAGCAGAAAATGCAGCTCAGTGCACCTGGGGAGTAAATGAGTGCCAAAGAGCCGGAAGATTAAGTGCTGAGTACAATTTCCAAAGTACCTTGTGTCAGTCCAAATGTAATTGTGTGGTGAGTGGCTACAAAACAGTTTAGGAAAAAAAAAATAAATCAGGATTTGATATTTCCTTTTGAGTTTGCCCTTTCCCCTTGGGTGGGGAGAGATGTATTTTGCTTTCTTATAGATGTGTATGCCTAGATATGCTGGATCCCACTGCACTGCCTGTGGTCCAGCGTGAGTGATATTTGTTATCTGGGATGTCAGTAAAACAGCAGTGAGGAGAGATGCCACTGACTCAGTTGCACTGTGGCTTATTAACCAAGTTCTGACTCAGCCGGGGAAATTTGGGTGGTTTAGATTAACCCCCACTGGACAAGGTAAGGCTGAGCTGAAGATGACACATTGTGATGAACTTTGCAGAAAGGGTGCTCACTTTCACCTTGGGTATAGGGGTGGTACAGAGACACTAACACAGATTTAACGTTCCCAGTGGGAGCAAGGAGAGGGTTTTGCCTCTCCTCTTGTGCCCTGGCTGCTGCAGATAAGTCAGAGATCGAGGCAGGATCTGCTTTTAAAGAGCTGCCCAATGGGACCAGATGTGCCAAACAGATCATTAGCGGGCAGAGCGATGGTGCCATCACTCCCTGCCAACCTTTTCCTGTGCTTTCTGTCCTCTGAATCCGATTTCTCCCTCTGCTTTGCTTAGCCCAGCGTTCATAGCAGTGCTGGCTGCGAGCTGTGAGTGCTGCTGCCTTGGGAACGCTGCTGCTCCCACACTGCCAGCGCCAAGGAACTGGGCTCCCACCGCCCTTCATGCAGGAGTAATTCTTGGTTCGTGATGCTGAGACTGCTGGGTGCTCTGGGCTATGAAGGGTCTGTGAAAGGGGACTGAAAAGCACATTTCTTGTCACCAGGCCGAAATGTACCATGTGGGGTCTGCATTGTTGAGATCCCTCAGGAGCTCACAGACTGAACGAGGCTGGTAATTGC